TCTTGTCACCCAGGCTGGAGTGCAGTGGCACAATCTCGGCTCACCATAACCTCCACCTCCCAGGTTCAAGCGATTCTCCTGCCTCAGCCTCCTGAGTAGCTGGGATTACAGGTGCTTGCCACCACACCCAGCTGATTTTGTTTTAGTAGAGACAGGGTTTCTCCTTGTTGGTCAGGCTGGTCTTGAACTCCTGACCTCAGATGATCTGCCCGCCCTGGCCTCCCAAAGTGCTGGGTTTACAGGTGTGAGCCACCACGCCTGGCCACATATATCTCTTTCACACCCTGCTTTCAATTTTTTTGGATATATATCCAGAAGCAGAATTGCTGGATCATATAGTAATTCTTTTTCTTTAGTTGAGGAGCCCCCATACTGTTTTCCACAGCAGCTGCACCATTTCACATTCCCACCAGCAGGGCACAAGAGTTTTAATTTCTCCACATCCTTGCCAGCACTTGCTATTATTATTATTATTGGCCTGATAGTAGTTATTTTAGGGGTGTGAGGGAATAGTGGGGGAATATCTCATTATGGTTTTGATTTGCATCTCCCTAATGATTAGCAACTTTTCATGTGTTTGTTGGCCATTTGTATATCATCTTTGGACTTGAAATGTCTATTGAAGTCTTTTGTCCTGTTTATTTAGAGGCGGAGTACTCCTGTTGCCCAGGCTGCAGTGTAGTGGTGCAAACTGCTCACTGCAACTTCTGCCTCCAGGTTCAAGCAATTCTCCTGCCTCAGCCTTTTAAGTAGCTGGGACTACAGGTGTGTGTCACCATACCCGGCTAATTTTACTGTATTTTTTTTGTATTTTTAGTAGAGACAGGGTTTCACCATTGTTGGCCAGGCTGATCTGGAACACCTGACCTCAAGTGATCTGCCCATCTCAGCCTCCCAGAGTGTTGGGATTACAGGCGTGAGCTATGGCGCCTGGCCAGTCTTCTGTCCATTTTAAAATTGAGTTGTTTTATTGTTGTTGAGATTTACCGAGTTTTAAAACTCGATCCCCAATTAAGATTTTTTAAACACCTCTACCCGGAACAAACAGAACAAGTCTCTGCTGGCCCTGGCCCGTGTCAAGTCCTCAGATCCCCTGGGATGTTTGCTTCCAGGGAGGCCGGGCACTCCTGACTGATGACAGCGCTGCTCGCCCTCTCTCTGTTACCTGTAAGTGCCCCTTCCACACCCCTGGCCTCATGACAGATACTGTTGTGTGTTAGGCATTTCAGTATCTCAGTGGGGTACTGGGTAAGTGCTTAGTTAGCACTTGTTGCTGAGTAAATAAGCAGGTCCTGTAGTCTCTGAGGGTTTGATACCTACATGCACACCAGGTCTTTGATCTTGACCTTGAACTCTCCTACCCATGCCTGGCTGAAGCCTAGCTGTGGAACCCAGGCTGAGGCTGAAACCTCTAGAACTGGACCCTGGTGAGTCCTTAGGGGTCCTGATTATGACAGGTTCATTTTTCTTTTTTTCTTTTTTTCTTTTTACAGATTTGATTAGCCATCCTCAAATTAACTCATAGGAGCTGCTCCCCAAAACTAAACTAGCTTGCAACAGCTCAGCAGACATTCTGCAGGTTCTGCAGCTCTTTTCATTCAAGCTTCAGAGAAAAGTGCAGGAATCTTGTAGATTGGGTCCAAATCCCCCTTGCATCTTGGGAAGGGCGGTAGAGCCCGCAGCCAGCCACCTTTTGTTCTCTAGAAAATGAAATCCTTCGAGGCTGTGTTTGCACTCTGCTTCTCTACATCTGACTCCTGGGACTTCCAGAGGCTGCATTTGGGTCAGGGACCTGGGTTCTATCTTGCCTGTCATGCAAACCACACTCTCTGGGACTCACTATTCCTCCTAAATGATCTCTAAGATTATTTTTAGATTTAAAAAAAAAACCTGTTTGCCTATCTTTGGAAAGTGAGTTGTTTGAGGTCTGTTAGGCTTTAGTCACTTTT